ATGTGTGTGCAGGTATCTTTTTTGTAGAATGATTTGATTTCCTCCGGGTATATTCCCCATAGGGGGATTGACTGTGCAACTTTTTAAAACAAATGTTTTTAGACTGGACATGGTGACTCACACCTGTGATCACAGCACTTTGAGAGGAAGAGGCAAGAGGATTGCCTGAGCCCAGGGATTCGAGACTAGCCTGGACAACTCGGTGGAACCTCATCTCTACAATAAATCAAAAATTTAGCTGGACATGGTGGTGTGCCTTATGGTTCCAACAACTTGAAAGACTGAAGTGGAAGAATTGCCTGAACCCAGTCATGGCTGTCAGTGTACCACTGCACTCTAGCCTTGGCAACAGAGTGAGACTCCAACTCAAAAAAAAAAAAAAAAAAAAAAAAAAATATATATATATATATATATATATATATATATATATATATATATATATATATATATATACCCTTTGCACTCAGATATCCTCTCTGAGGGGTATTGTAAATGTAGCAGACCACTCTGATGTCCCCTCTCAGGGGACAGAAAGAGATTACTGGTGATTATACAGTACAAACTTATGCAAGCACAAAATTTTCAAAAACGTATGTTTCCTAGAAGCTTTCCATGCAAATTACATGAAAAAGCAAATAAAAAGATGGACTATGTACTGAGATATATGATTAATCAGTTGAAAAGTGTTTTTCAGGAATCATAGTCAACAGACTGGACATAAATTACATATTATTAATGTGAGAGAAAGAAAACGGGACTGCATTGTCTGCTTTAATAGAAAAATACCAAGTGAAAGACTTCAAACATATTACTATTTCACAACATGTACCAATGAACCTGCATTGCATGTCAGTGACTGTTTCACACATTATCATATGTTAGAAAAATATACCTAGGCTTGGTGGCTCAGCCTGTAATCCCGTGCTTTGGGAGGCTGAGGTGAGTGGATTGCCTGAGCCTGCGGGTTCGCGACCCGCCTGGGCAACTTGGCAAGACCTCATCTCTACAATAAATCAAAAATCAGCCGAGCATGGTAGCGCGCGCCTGTAGTTCCAGCAACTTGGAAGGCTGAGGCGGAAGGATCGCTGGAGCCCAGCAGGTCGAGGCTGCGGGAGTGGCCACTGCACTGCAGTCTGGGTGACAGAGTGAGACTCCAGCTCAAAAAAAAAAAAAAAGAAAAGAAATTAAAGAAGATCTGAATGAATGGAAACATTTAAAAATAAAAAAGAAAAATATAAGGTACACAGTTTTTATTTTTTTTGTCATAAATAAGTTCTTCAATGTCCAAGATCCCATTATAAGCCAGGTATAATTAAATAAAATAATTGGTTGCAACACCATACTATTTAATATGAAGTGATTCATTTTTCAGTATTTTGTAAAAAATTGCAGTCAAGTTGCTGATAGGTGATTAGCAAGATGTATCTGAGTGCAAAGGGTTAATAACAGAAGATTGTGTTTGCTTCCAGCATTATTCAGGGCAGTTTCTCAATTAATTAAGAATTGCCAGCAAGAAGAGATTCTGAATAACATATTAGCATACTCCAAGTTTTTTGAAAAGTATTTTGTGGTCCCTGAAACTTCTTAGTGTAGTTTCTGTTCTTCCCCTTGTTGTGGAGGTGATGGGTCTTGTTCATTGTGAGTCTCCTGTTGGGTCAGAGCCTGACCTTCAAGGCTCTCCAAGGGGCAAGAGCGAGGTCTGGATGTGCTCGTACCCCATAGCACTAGCACTGGCTTATGGAGCAAAGTTGTGGAGGCTGAGAGCCTAAGTTCTCCCTGTGGATAGACTTGGTCTAACCCACCTTTCAGCTCTCCTTGCTGTTCCTCAGTCCTTGCAACCCTTTGTGTTTCATGCCAGGAACACTGGGTAGTACCTGTGACTTGCGTGTGGTTGTAAGGATTAAGTGGCTCTGTGCACACAATGAGCCCCTGAGAAACACTAGCTGTTGGTTCTGTTTGCCTCTGACAGGCACTCTGTAGATGCTCATGAACTGGTTGTTTCCTTAGCGGTGGCTCTTTAAGAAACCATGTTTGTAGCCGGGCTCGGTGGCTCAGCCTGTAATCCCGCGCTTTGGGAGGCTGAGGTGAGTGGACTGCCTGAGCCCGTGGGTTCAAGACCCACCTGGGCAACTTCGCGAGACCTCATCTCTACAATAAAATAAAAAATTAGCCGGGCGTGGTAGCGCGTGCCTGTAGTTCCAGCTACTTGGAAGGTTGAAGCGGAAGAATCGCCGGAGCCCAGCAGGTCGAGGCTGCGGTGGCCAGGAGCGGCCACTGCACTCCAGTGTGGGTGACAGAGTGAGACTCCAACTCAAAAAAAAAAAAAAGAAAGAAAAGAAACCATGTTTTTGAGAGCTTTGTCTTTTCTGAATTATTTTGTGAAGTCTTAGATCCTAGTATCGTTTGTTCACCTCCTCGCCAGTTCTTAGAAGAGAAAAACAACACATTCTGGATTTTATCTACCTTTTCTCAAACAAGGTGATGCCATGCAATCAGTGGAATTTACTGTTGTCCTGGCACAAAGCCCATATATGTTTGAGCTAACAAAGACATCGATCCCTGGATTTTTCTTGATGTCAAGACCTTGGCGCCGCTACTTTCAGACACAGCCTATGTGGCAGGTAGTGAGGCGTTGGGGACCACAATTTCTGACTCTCCCGGAGCCTTGCTCCAAATGGAGATAAAACTGCTGACACTTTGGCGGCTGCCAAACTTAGAATTAAGATGTCTTCCTCCTAGCATATTCCATCTGACATTTGCTAAAGCCTATAAAAAGTAATTGCCTTTTAAAATGGTGTGTAGAGTTAGGGATTGGCTGGCAAAAACATTTGAGTGAAGGCTTCAGGGAGAGATAGAAGTTACCTGTTTTTCCCCCAGGGAAGAAAGGGGATACAACACCTTTATTTTCTTGGGGAACGGAAAAGGTACAGTTGGGTAGTTAAATTTGAAAGAGAATAACACGACACAAAAAAGAGAGAGGGGCATTTAACAAGAAAAATCCCTAGAGGGGGAGATTAAAGTGAACAGGTGCTGGAAAAATGTTTCTGCATATTAGAGCTTAATTAGATTTGAAGATGAATTCCAGATGGGCTAATTATGTGTGAGTTGTTGCAGGTTATTTCTTGTAGGGGCAAGCGTGTATTTTTGGAAATAGTGATTTAGTTTGATTGGATTTGATTCTCGCCTCCTACCAAATCTCCTCCATCAAGAAACCACCTCTGCTGGGTCCCAGAGTCCCACTCAGCAGGCCCCACATCTTTGGCCCCTGTCATAGCTGGCAGAGACACAGAACGTGGACGCTCGTCTTCATGGTCACAGCCCACTCATCATGTGGAAGGACAAATGATCTTTGCCCAAGTCGAGTGGAATGTAACTTAAACTTTAAAGGAAAGTAAACAAAACAAAGCTGCATGTTTGCAGGAACCTGGCATTTGATGGGGTGGGGGAACAATACTTGAAGTGAAAATAGAGTTAAAGCTAATGTTCACTTTATGGCCAGTTGGTTAGATGGATTTGGGCTGGTTTTTTTTTCTGGGGGGGCAGAGGAGGAAGTTATTGGCAGCTCTCTAGGTTGTGAGTAGAGAAAAGGAGGGAGAGTGTGAATAACTGAGACATATTTCAGAACAAAAACTTAATGTTTAAGCAAGGAACAGAGCCAAGGGCTACATGGGCCTGGGACATCCTGTTAGGATGATGGACTTGACTTGACTTAGGAGCAGATTGTGATGGTTGTCTCAGAAGACAGCATGATTCCTGCTGTTCCCAGGAAGGTGTGGATGTGCTGGGGTGGCCTCACATATCCTACACACCTCAGGGAGATGCGCTTGGCATCCAGTTTGGGTCTGGGAGCTTCAATAAACGTAAACTTTTATGTAAGGCCCTATAATTGGAAATTATGGATGTATAATTTATATATGACTCAATGAATGATTTATATAATGTTAAGTGATGATTTAGATAGAAAATATGACCCCCTCTTGCAGAATCTTTAATGAAAAACGTCAGTTCTTATGAATTTATTTCTAGAGCTCTGTTTGAACTCAGCATGTTTGACATAAATCAGATCTAATTGTCATTTTATGATTAATGAACATATGCTGGCCGTTTTTCCCCATAATTAAACTTTATGTTCCATGCATCTGACAAAGCAAAACAAGTTTAGACTTTGACAGATTGGCGGTGGGTTTCCTTGTCTGCGTATTTGTGTGTGTGTGTGTGTACTCATTTGTGCATGTCTTTATTTTATTAATGTACAAGTACTAAGTTGCCGTGGAGTCACATTTCCTGAGGTATGAGTACACTTTTAAGAATTAGCATTCAGACTGGGAGGGAGATTTCAAACACCTGCAGAAGATAGAAAGGGCACAGATATAGCCTGGGGTGGAGTGCGGCCCTTCTGCCTCTGTCTCTCAGTAAGCACCTTCCAGCAAGGCGAGCCCCATGGTAGGGGGACCTTTGATGTGCCGTCCCGGAGGATACTCCGCAATACTTGAGAGCATGGCTGTACTCTCAGGCTAGGGTTGTAGTAGGAGCTCTAAGAAATGGTAGAATGTGGTTTTATTGGAAAAATAGGTACTACGTTTGCCTTTCCACTGTCAACACACTTCAACAAGAACTGTACTAGTTTAAAAGGTGAGCCAGATGCAGCGGCTCACATCTGTAATCCCGGTACTTTGGGAGGTGGAGGCAAGAGGATTGCCTGAGCCCACAGGTTCAAGACCCACCTGGGCAACTAGGCAAGACCTCATCTCTACAATAAATCGGAAAATTAGCCGGGTGTGGTGGTGCGTACCTGTAGCTCCAGCTACTTGGAAGGCTGAGGCGGAAGAATTGCCTGAGCCCAATAGATCGAGGCTGCAGTGGCCATGAACATGCCACTGCACTCCAGATGAGACTTGCACTCATAAAAAGATAAAATAAAAATAAATAAAAGCATGTGAAAGGAAAATCATTATCACTGGTCACTTTCGCTCATGACCTTTCTCCTCTGACTGTTGCAGGATGTAGACAAGTTTGGCAACGAGATCACCCAACTGGCCCGTCCCCTGCCCGTGGAATATCTCATCATAGATGTAAGCGCCCCGCATGTGTGCATCCATGGCAAGCCAAACTGTCGTTTGCTTTGGAGATCAGGACTTTTGGGTGGTGGCTGCTCAAGAGAGGAGGCGGCTTAAGAGTCTTACTCTGTACCTAGGGCAGTGCCTGACCCAGAACAGGCACCCGGGAGGTGTTTATTGAATCATTAAGTACCTGGTGTTGCTGAAAAGCTCACACGTGAAAGACTTTTTTAGTTTCAGATTTTTGTTGCCTTAAAATCAACTTAGGGGTTAACTTTTTCCCATACTAAAGTAAAAAGGACTACCCATCTCTGGCCAAGCAGCCTCAGAGGCAATGAACCTTGGTCACTTGAGCCCTGAGTCATGTGACTGTTCAAGCAGTCTTGCTCAGATATGTGGTGCTTGGTTTGTAGCTGCTGGCCATCCAGCCTATACTAGTGCTGCCCTGGCCACGACACAGCTGCTACAGCCTGTAGTCCATGTGCTTGGGCCACTCTGTGGTGGTGACCTGTGACTCAGTGTCCTTGAGTAAGGGTTTATTGTAGTTTACTGGGTAGAACTCCAGGAGCCAAGCATGTACCTGACTTTGCTGCATCTTCCCAGAGTCTCAGCTTCTTTCTGGAGGCATGTGGTTATGGATGTGGCCATGCCATTGGCCAAAGGGCAGCAAGTGCAGTAGGATGAGAGCCAGCACATCACTGCCCATCAGAGCTCTGTCCAAAGGGGCTGGGAGGTGGCTCATTTCCTACACTGCTGCTGTGCCAGGATCTATTCAAGCTGCATTTGGAGTGGAATGGGCATGTGATTCAGGCAGTAAAATATCATTGCATTTGGAGCAGTGGGTCCCCATGAGCCAAGCCCATCGATGCTCCATTCCAATTGACAGCTCCTGAGAACATATTTATTACCTGGGCTGTAAAGGCATCTGGTTTTTAGACTACCTGGGGTGTAATTAAGATGAAAACAGATTGATGGAGCATACACTCAGGAGGAGCCAGCATGATTTAAAGCCAGCTTTCTCAGGTCTACTCCCCTCATGGCCTCCCCACCCCTTTCCTTTTATAAAGGAAGTTAAGTTTTTGCCTTAGTGAGTTTATTCAGCAGTACTTAGTTGCCAGGGGAGCAGTCTACCCTATAGTGTCTAAGCTTTCTGTCCCTGTGGGTGTGAGGCCTGGGGAGTCCCTGAGAGCAGGTGCCCAGAGAAATGTGTTCAGCTCCTTGCCCAGCTCCCAGGGACCCACAGATGCAGGCCTGGACCAGAATTGTCTGATATCCTTAAACTTTGGGATGGGGAAGCTGTTGCAGGCAGGAAAAGACATGAGCCAGTGTTCCCTGGGCTTCTGTCGGGGCATTGTCTAGCTGATAGATGTTGGGTGGGGGGTGGTTTCAGTGCAAGATGTGGAGCTGGACACCCTGCACCCCCTCCACCAGGACCTCTGGGATAGTCATATGGGGCCTGTGGACTTTGGTTCGGTCACTCTCCACAGGCCAATTAGAAGACCAACAAATACCTGTTTTAATTCCACTAGTTTACTTACTAGTAAGCAGTCTATAGTTGCTGTCCCATTACTATGTCTGCCTTCTGAAAGGGAGGCTCCCATGCAATCTCAGACTTTGTTTCTGCAGTGTAGTCAGCACCTCCACCATCATTAGACTTCTGACCACAATTAGTACCCAGCATGGTGTATACTAGGCCTGTGCTGGGCGCCCTGCATGTGAGAGTCCTGAATTCTCCCACCAGCCCAAGAAGGGTATACTCTAGTCATCTTTTTCTCAAAGAAGAGCAAAGTGAGGCCCAGGATTCCTAGCTGATAGGGTTGTTTAGCTGACATGCAGCACTATGGCCTGAGTCTGGGCCCTCTGCCACACTGCTGTGTGGGCCCATCAATAAGGCCCAGCCCAGGTCAGAGGTACTGCTGGTGGCTCAGCTTGTTCTTCCAGAGCAGCTGGCACTGGCACAGCTGAATCCTGGGCCAGCTAGCCTGAAACAGCTCACTGCCTTTGCAGATGTAGACAACAGACCAGAACAATGTTAATTCTGTTGAAATAGTCCCAAAGGAAACAGAATAGCTACCCTAAATCTGGAAGAGGTGTGGTCTTCTGCTACTGGTGTCATATTGCAGAGGAAAGCTGTGTCAACCAAAAGGTGGTTGATAGCTCACACGGGTGCTTCCATGGGAAGGGACATCTGCCAAGAGGAATAAAATCTGTATTGGTATTGATTCTTGCACATGTACCACTGTCCCTGTAGCTTCTATTGATTATATGCTAGATTTAAAATGCCTTCTGACATTGCTAAGGCATGTCTGAGCCAAATGAAGGACTTAGCTCACCTTTCGATATAAGCTCTTTACTGGAGCTCACTTGTTCAGGGAGAGAGGAAAGCTGTACCTTGGCATTCTTCAAGGGCCTGTCATTTTCACCCCTGTCTAGAAAAGCCCACGGGCTCCATGGAGTGGCTCCCTAGTGTTCAGAAGGGGCTTAGCAACTGGCTGGAGGTCACTTCGTGTCTTAAAACTGGCACTGGCAGACTTTGTATGTGTCCTTTAAACCCACTGACATGAATTTTGTGCTTTTTAAACAAAGGCAGCTCCTGGGATGTCCTCCTGGCCTTCTTGTAGTGTGGACAAGGGGTCAAATGAGCCATTTATTTCCCACAGCAGAGGCAGAGCAGCTGTCTGAGACTCTAAGGTGAATCAGTACTGTGATAGTCTCCATGCAGCTTGAGTTAGATATTGTAGAACTGGTGTACGGAGCCAAAAACTGCTCAGATGTGGTTCAGTTTTAAAAACAAATTCTTAGCCTGGGCATGGTGGTTCACATCTGTGATCCCAGCACTTGGGATGCTAAGTCAGGAGGATTACCTTAAGCCCAGGAGTTCTACACCAGCCTGAGCAACATAGTGAGACCTCGCCTCTACAAAAAATAAATAAATAAATAAATAAAATTATGCAGGCATGGTGGTGCGTGCCTGTAGTCCCAGCTACTTGGGAGGCTAAAGCAGAAGGATTGCCTGAGCCCAGGAGGTCAAGATTGCAGTGAACCGTAATCGTGCCACTGCACTTCAACCTGGGTGACACAGTGAGTCCAACTAAAAAAAAAAAACCAAAAACCAAAAAGTGAATTCTTTAGTTTGCTTCTCAGATGTCAGAGTTTCAAAACTTTTGTGTAGGGAAGACACTAATAGTTAACTGTTCTCTTCAACGTAGAACTTGTAGGACTCTTCCAGGACTGCTGTGAGTATTTACTTTCTGCTCTGGGGTTACTCTGGGCTGTTTGGGAGTTGTCTACACCATCATTAGCCTAGTTCATCATGGGTTTGTTTTTCTTCATTAGATCACAACAACTTTCCCCAAGGATCCTGTTTACACTTTTTCTATTTCACAAAATCCATTTCCTATTGAAAACCGGGATGTATTGGGTGAGACACAGGTAAGTTCTTTGTCTTTAGAAACTTGATTTAAAGTAACTGCTAGCCGGGCTCGGTGGCTGAGCCTGTAATCCCGTGCCTTGGGAGGCTGAGGTGAGTGAATTGCCTGAGCCCACGGGTTCGAGACCCACCTGGGCAACTTGGTGAGACCTCATCTCTACAATAAACCAAAAAATTAGCCGGGTGTGGTAGCACGCACCTGTAGTTCCAGCTACTTGGAAGGCTGAGGTGGAAGGATCGCCAGAGTCCAGCAGGTCGAGGCTGTGGTGGCTGGGAGCGGCCACTTCACTCCAGTCTGGGCAACAGAGTGAGACTCCAACTCAAAAAAAAAAAAAAAAGTAACTGCTGATTACTTGTCTACTATCAGTATTGTTTTTCCAGAAAGTACCATGTGTTCAAATGCTCCCAATTCATTTTTGTGACAAGCCCAGCCTAATCCTCTTCTAGGATATCGTTGGTCACTACGATACTATCTCTGTGACTGGGTGATGGATGACCCTACATGCAAATCCCCTTAAGGTCTCACATTGGCCAGAAATACATTATCAGCTAACTTTCTAATTTTTCCAAGTGTGTCACTCTGTGTCCTTTACTAACAGCTTTTTTATTGTTTGTCCTGGCCTCCTTACCATGTCACCTATTGCCTTTCTCAGGCCCTGTCAGGGTTGCGTGGCTCTGCGGGGCTGGTCACCTGGGCTTTCCCACATGTGGTATTGATCTACTCACTTAGCATGGGTTCTGTGCCAGCCCTCTACCTTTGCTGGCAGATCAGGCTGAGTTTGAGTTACTGTCATGCTGTGTAGATGGTCTATATACATTTGTTCTTGAATCTTAGTCGCTAATAGACATTTCAGAAGATGGCCAGGTTAAAAAAAAAAGGTTTCCTTCAGTGGCTGACAAAGCCTCTTCTACACTTTGGTCCCCTCACTACTCACATGCCCAAGGGGAATGCCTGTAGAGGTGCAGAGCTTGTTATTGGGGTGCTGTCTTGAAACACTGTGTTTAATCCTGCTGAAGATGTTTTATATGATGGCTTCCTGTAGCTGTTTTCTTTCACTGCCACACTGCCCTAGATCGAGAATGCAGCTGGATAGGAAAAGCCAGATGTGTCTCTTTGCTCCTGAAGTGGGCCCCCGCTGCAGCCCACCTCCACCTGGAGATAAAGGGGACATTGTCCGTGTCTCTGTCTGGATCAACTTTGTAGACATGCTTTCTTATACACCTTGGTGCATCAGATGTCATAGCATCTTCTAGGAGGAGAGGAGCAGGAACATCTTTTAGGAGGAGAGGGGCAGGAGCTTGTTCTACACTGGCTGCTCCTCTTCTCTTGGACCTTGTAAGTGGTTGTAGAAGGAGAGAGGGAGAGACTCTCAATATTGATGTATTTAATCATGTCCTAGTAGGAAACAGCTCACTTCCTGGGTCTGGCCCTGGAGAATTGTATGAAAGATTTGTGTTTATTTCCTTTCTTCTAGGATTTCCACAGTTTGGCCACCTATTTGTCCCAGAATACTTCGTCTGTGTTCTTGGATACCATCTCAGATTTCCACCTCCTGTTGTTTCTGGTCACCAATGAAGTTATGCCTCTGCAGGTACGGGCCAAGTATGATGTCTGCCTGAGCACCTGGCTTTGGTGTCCCCAGGTGGGCTTTGATTATAAAGAGATGCTCTTTGTCTCATTTTTCTTTCTTTTTTTTTTTATAATCAACATTTTTTATTATGATATTGTGGGGTACAATTAAAGGTTAGGTATACAAATATGCTTTGTTCAGGCAACCTTGTTGATAAGAAGTATCTTCCCGTTCACTTTTCTTTCCTCACAAACCAAAGTATGGCTGAGAAACTGGGTCAAAGCTTGGAGTCAAAGGGTGTCTCATATGTTCTGTGAGCAGAGAGTACATGCATCAGCTTTTCACAAGAGGCTTGTTGATAGAAAGATGCATTTTCCTCACCTTTAGCACTTTCATTGAGTGTCTTGCACCCTCTGGGATGAAGGACAGCTTCGTGTGTTATAATCACACGGCAGAGGTGATTTAGCTCTACCTCTAGCTTGGAACATTAGAAATCCTACAATTTAAAAAAATCCTGTCCTAACAATTTAAAAATCACAGCCTCTGCTTTTTACTGATCTCTCCCCTCCTCCTGAATCAACTTTGGTTTTATTGCCTTGGCCCAGAAGGCTTGGCCAACTTCCAGACTTGGAGCTCACAGCTGCACAGTTGGCATTTTTAAGACACACCATGGGGGAAGAAGAAGGCGAGTGTTTTGCAGACAGCAGCTGCTCTGAGCAGTGCGGGGGCATTGAACAACGGGTCTATCCACTAGGAGGCCCCTTGCATGCGCCATGTGGTGGGTGTCCTGCTTTGGCCTTTTCTCCTCTGTCCAGGACCCCAAGAAATGCAGGAGAGAAAGGAACAAAATTTTTTTGAGCTGCTGATCCCACTGACTCTCTGAATGTGACAGGATGGAGAAATTCCCCTCCAGGGCTTTTCTCTGTCGGGTAGCCTGTGGCTGTTCTTATATTCTGCTAGGTTTGTGTCTGTATTTGTTCCCAAAATCACCCACTCTGTTGAGTCATCCTGTAACTCTTACTGTGTATACCTTCCTCCATCAGCCCAGGGAGGTTTCTCGGGTTCGGCTGTTGTCCAGCTAAGTGGATGGGTGGTGAAAGGAGAGGCTACTTCTCCATCAGGGCCACCTTGCTAGTAAATGTGCACTGTTTTGCAGTCATCTGTTAGAATACATTTTATGGAGGTACTGAGAGCCCCTAAAAGCTTTATGTATTCTTAATTGTGTAAGTTATTTTAATTGTCTGCACTTTGACCCTAGAAGCCTAGGATATAGAGTGCATTTTTTCAGACATGAGGGAGAAGAGAAGGAGATAGAGGATGAAGTGTGAGGGAGAAGAGTAGGTCTCAGCTTGGGGCTCCTGCTTTTCTGTCTCAGCCTCTGGGACAAGAAGTGTTAGCTTGATCCTTTAGGCTCTTGACGCTTTGTCAGTTCATGTCAGAGACAACCACAGATGCCCACCCGGGGCTGTTTGGTGGGAAGAATTTACATTTTAGCTCAGTTTAGCATTGCATTTATAGACCTCAGTTGTGGCAGTTTTGCATTTTGTAGTGCTAACCTGTAAGATTTTAAAAATTCCTTCTGAAGTATGTCTTGATGTTGAGGAAGAAGAAACCTGTTAGCAAAAATCTGGTCATTTCAGACGGAACACATTGGAACCTTCCTTTTGTCTTCTTGCAGGACAGCATCAGCTTGCTGCTGGAGGCTGTGAGGACCAGAAACGAAGAACTTGCCCAGACATGGAAGAGGTCTGAGCAGTGGGCCACTATTGAGCAGTTGTGCAGTAAGTATCTCCATTCCAACCACCATGGGCTGTGCCCTGTGCCCCCATGGCCAGGGCAGGAGAGCAGGACACACTCTGCACAGGTCCACACTGCCTTTTGTGACATGGGTGTCCCTGCTATGCATATGGTTGTTTTAATTGATGAAGCATACATGATGTGTAGACCACAGATCTTAGGTACACATTCCTGTGAAATGTACAAACTTATACACCAGAGGCACTGATCTTCGAGCATCCTAGGAGCAATTTGAACACCATTATTTTAGAGAAACAACTTTTATGTAAGCACTGGAAGCAAAGACCTCCCCTCTGTGGTACTGTCCCAGTGGATGTTATAGAACAGAAAGCAGCTATCTTGTGTGTCCAGGACCCTCAGTCCCAAGAGCCTCAGTCCCAAGTCTTGAACAATCACCTACCCTAGTGAGAACTTTTCCTTAGTTTTTGCTGCAGGGACTGCTGCTAGTGCACTAGTATTGAGTCAGTGTGTAGCTCATACTAGTGCACTGTGATGCCATCCAGCTGGAACTGAAGGTAGCAGAGGGCTGTTGCAGCCTGTCTCCCTGTGGCTTTGACAAATATTAGAATCTTTTATTAAGACAATCTTGAACCTCAGTTGTAGCAGTTTGCATTGTGGCAGGTGCGGTGACTCATGCTTGTAATCCTAGCAATTTGGGAGGCAGAGGCGAGAGAATTGCCTTAGTCTAGGGGTTCAAGACTAGCCTGGACAACTTGGTGAGACCTCATCTCTACAATAAATCAAAAAATTAGCTGGTGGTGCTCGCCTGTGGTTCCAGCTACTTGGAAGGCAGAAGCAGGAGGATCGCCTAAGCCCAGCAGGTCGAGACTGTGGTGGCCATGAGCATGCCACTGCACTTCAGCCTAGGTGACAGAGTTAAGACTCATACTCAAAAAAAAAAAAAAAGACAACCATGAGAATACATATTTTAAAAGTTTATATCATTTTCTGAATCCATCGGGTAGCTACTAGGTCCAAAATTAGCCAAGAAAAAACCTCACTGGAATCTAAGCCATAAGGGAACCTAGTTGGAAAAAGAGATATTCTTTCCTAATACTAAAATATGTAGAAGCTCAGTGATCTTAAGAGTCATAGTATTCATTGTGTCATGCTTCTTGTTAAGTGATTCTGACGACTCACCAATCTTACAGCTGGCTAAACCTTGTATTCTTTTGCCTTCGTGTTTTGAAATACTGCTGATGTTCCCAGACAAAGGGCAAGTTAAGCCCACCAACCTCTCTAAAATGAAATCCTACGTCTTGGGTTCTTGTGTGTGGGCAGGGGCATGGTGTGGGGGGCCCCTCTGCTGCCCTTACTGCCCTGTAGTCCGGGCCCTGCTCCTTGTAAACCTCCATGTTCACATTGTGGGTCTCCACCCCAGTGATATTTTTTAATTCCTCACAGAGAAACATTTAATGCAGCAGTTTGATATTTTGGAATATCTCATCCCGGAAGGAGTGCCTAGAGAGACTGATTTCAACAAGGCTGAGAGGGCACAGAGACACTTCCCTGGACCCAAGGCGGAGGCAGGCTGCCTGGGAAGTTGGCTGAGGGGAAGGAGATGAACATATCTGAAGGCATCCCTATTAGATACTTGGCTCCACATGTCTTTGCCATTCCTATTGGACACTTGGCTCCACCCCTCTTACTTAGACGAGCAGTGGTCTGTCCCCGTTGCTGCTGCAGCTTGTGCATAAAGACCTCCTTGTGTTCATCAGTACTTGCCTTGCTGAATAATTTATTATGTGATTGTCGAATCCCATCAACGTAGATAATCTGCTCATGATGCTCAATAATTATGCATAATAATTAGCATAGGAAACTAATAGTAGAGTATCATTTACAAAAGTATCACTAAACACAAGATGCCCAGGAACAGTGTGATCAAAAGTTCTGTGAGAGCTCTGTGTTGAATGCTACACATTGCCAGAAGAACTAAGTAAATGGAAGTGTACCATCTTTCTGGATTGGAGACTCAGTATATTTTTAAGATACCAGTTTTCCCTAAATTGATATATCAGTGTAATTGCAATCAAATTTGCCACAGACTTTTCCCCATAAAAATGAACAAGACTAAAATGTATCTGGAAATATAGAAGGCCTAATAGCCAAGACAACCTGGAGAAAGAAGAATAAAGTTGGAGAACTTGGACTACCTAATTGCAAAACTATAAATCTTCTGTGATTAAGACAGTTTGAGGCCAGGCATTGTACCTCATGCCTGTAATCTCAACACTTTGAGAGGATTGCCTGAGCCCAGGGGTTTAAGGCCAACCTGGGCAACTTGGTGAGACCTTGTCTCTACAATAAATCAGATTAGTCGGGCATGGTGGCACATGTCTGTAGTTCCAGCTACTTGGAAGACTGAGGCAGAAGGATCGCCTGAGCCCAACAGGTCAAGACTGCAGTAGCTGTGAGCATGCCACTGCATTCCAGCCTGGGCAATAGAGTGAGATTCCGACTCCAAAAAAAAAAATGTATGCTATTGGCATAAGGATATATAGTCATTCAAAAATTGGTTGATAACCGGGCTCGGTGGCTCAGCCTGTAATCCCGCGCCTTTGGGAGGCTGAGGTGAGCGGATTGCCTGAGCCCGCGGGTTCGAGACCCGCCTGGGCAGGCGAGACCTCATCTCTACAATAAAATTAAAAAAAAAAAAAAATTAGCCGGACGTGGTAGCGCGCACCTGTAATTCCGGCTACTCGGAAGGCTGAAGCAGAAGGATCACCGGAGCCCAGCAGGTCAAGGCTGCGGTGCCCGGGAGTAGCCACTATACTCCAGTCTGGGCGACAGAGTGAGGCTCCAACTCAAAAAAAAAAAAAAAAAAATTGGTTGATAACAAAGGCATCAGAGGGTGGGCTTTTCAGGAAAGTATGCTGAAACAGCTGGACATCTGTATGGGTAAAATGAATTCTACAGTATACACCATACACAAAGATCAGCTCAGGGTGGGCCATAGGTCTCATGATAAGAGCTAAAACTATAGACCATTTATGTTTTTAAATTGAATATCTTCAGGACCTTAGAGTAGGCAAAGATTCTCTTAGCCAGGATATAAGACCTTGAGGTAGGACACAGAAAAACTCTAACCATATAACATATTAATAAATTAGATTGTAGCAAAACAAAACACTTGTGCTCATCAAAGGGCACGGTTAGAAACATGAAAAGAGATGGGAGACAGTGTTAGCAATACAGATATATGACATAAGTCATTCTTCTAAAACAATAATCAAACACAAAAAGTGTAAGAGAAAACTGGGCAAAGGACTGAGAAATTTCACAGGCAGACATAGGAACTGTCACTACCATTAGTCCTCAGGGAAATGCAAACTAAAATAAATGAGAAACCATTGCACATTTATCAGAGTGGTGGATGAAAGGAAAAAATCTGCCCTGACCATGTATCAGTGCTAGTGAGGATGTGGAACAACCAGAAACCTCACATTCCACTGGTGGGATGCAAAACAATGCAGCTGCTCTATAGAACTGATAGTCAGTTTCTCAGAAAGTTCAACATTTAATTACCCTGTGGTCCAGTATTCCCACTCCTAGGTTTTTACCCAAGAGAAATGAAAACATGGGTTCACACGGAGGTTATGCAAGAATGCTCATGGGGCTGGGCACAGTAGCTCATTTCTGTAATCCCAGAACTTTGGGAGGTGGAGGCAAGAGGATTGCCTGAACCCAGGGGTTCAAGAACAGCCTGGGCAACTTGGCAAGACCTTGTTTCTACAGTAAATTAAAAAATTAGCCAGGCATGGTGGCATGTGCCTATAGTTGTAGCTATTTGGAAGGCTGAGTAGGAAGAATTACCTGAGCCCAGCAGGTTGAGGCTATGGTAGTCATGAGTATGCCACTGCACTCTAGCCTGAGTGACAGAGTGAGAATCCGATTTCAAAAAAACAAACAAACCCCAAAAACAAGGAATGCTCTTGGCAGCTTTGTTTATAATACCTCAAAACTGGAAACAACCCAAATGTCCATAAGCAGGGGAATCACAGCATTCACACAGAGGAGTGACTACTCTTCAGCAACGTAAGGGCACAACATAAGTGCAGGGTCTTTGACACCTGTTAGAGCAGGGGAGGCATGTTTCTGGGTCCATCACAGCTGATGCATTAAGCACTGCAGACAACAACTCTGGTACATACTTGTGGGGACAGGACCATCCATGGTGGCATTAGCCTCTGCATTGTAGCATGCTCAGGCAGAGCGAAGCATCTCCTGTCTGCAGAAATAATGAGCACTCACTTCTCTTCTCGCCCTGCAGGCACGGTTGGTGTGCAGCTTCCAGGCCTCCAGGAGTACGGCGCCGTTGGGGGCTCCTCGCATGTGGCCACTGCTGCCATGTGGGCTTGTCAGCACTGCACCTTTATGAACCAGCCAGGCACGGGCCACTGTGAGATGTGCAGCCTCCCCAGGACCTAGGGTTCCAGCCCTCTGCTGGGCACCCAGCCCTCTCTGAAGCCAGGAGCATTGTGCGGTGTGTTCCCTGCGATGGCCCCGCCGTGGGCAGCCCTAAAAGGGCAGGGGGCTGGCTCTCCTGGGCTCGCTGACCCACTGAAGCTTCTCAGCACATTCTTCCTTGGAGAGAGGGAGCTACGGCTGGTGTTCTGCAGGCTGAATGCAATCTCCAAACTGGAAATGCAGAGTGGCCCCACCTGAGAACGCCCCACACTCCTAACCCCGTGGACAAGCCCCCCACTGTGGTGGAAGTACCATGTACCTCTCAATCATCACCTGGAATTGGAGGGTACAGGGAGGGGTTGCTGCTGCCATCCAGCTTTCTTTTTCTTCCTTTTTGATGCTTTTTGTTCTTTGCCCCATCCCCCACCCTGTATTTTGGTTGGGAGCTCTTGGTTGCCTCTGTATCTTGTTGCTCCGGGGCAGAGACCTGCCTGTGCGGGTCACTTTTCCTCTTCCAAGATAGCCACTGTCTGATAGACATGAGTGGCCACAGGCTGACGGCCTGCTATCTGCTCAAGCTGTGGATCTGCAGGTTAATTTGCTGCCTACCCTTTTTCTTCCCCTCACCTGACATCCAGGTGGGATTTTAAGGTCTGCATTGGTTGTAATAACAGTTATCAGTAGTTTCTGCCCAGAAGACTTTTATTTATTTTTTTTAAGATAAAAACTGCACAAAAGGGGAGTGAGAGACTAGTTTTCACTTCCTTCCCTCCTTTAGTGAAGCCCCTGTGGGTATGTTCAGGGTGGATGAGTATGGACAGGGCACCAGTCAGTTCTTTGAAGTAAACCTCAGTGCCTGAGACTTTTCTACCAAGCCGCACAGCTGTGATGGCTATAGACACTGCGGGCTGAGCAGGAGCAAAGTGGTGGCTCTTGCCATGTGGGCTGCTCTCCAGGTCCTGGATGGATGAGTTGGGTGCCCAGGACTGGATGCTCTGGTCCCCCACATATACTGTTCCTCTTCCCATGGCCCTGCCTGGCCCTGGTGTCTGGCACAGTAATGAGGACGTTAGGGGCTTGGCTTCTCATGAGGGCCACTTGGGACCTCTCTGGGGCACATGACAGTTGGTACTGTACCTATGGTGGGACTTCTGGGCAGTCCCAAACAGGTCCTGGTGGGGTCTTGCCTGTGTACTCTGCAGTCTCTGGTTTTCTCTGCAGCTAGCTGTGGCCTGGCCCTTCCCCAGCGGAGTTGTGGGCATCTTGAAGCCTCTTTGCCTTAACGATAAGCAGTATCTGGGCTGCACTACGCCCATGGAAAGACCAGCCCAGCCACAGACTGTGCTTGGGGACTTCTGTATTTGCCCTAGGGGGTCAAGCCTGTGTGATCTTCCCTCATCCTTGGCACTGGACAGAGAATGCTTGCCTGTTGGGCTCTCACATGACCAGGGCTGTGACCGGCACCTCCAAGTCCACCTGGCATGGGACACCAAGTGGAAGGCTCTTACTCTTGGGACCAAAGGGCAATTAGGCTGTGTCTGGCCATGACAGCACTGTCCTGGAGGGTCAGTAATGGTGGAGAGTAGCTGGGCTGAAGTGGACTCCTGTGGGTGCAACTTCCGGCTTGTCTGCTGCAGGCTTTCCCCCCCCCCCCAGCTCCTCGCTGCTGTCCTCCCAAGAGAACCTCTGCCCTTATGTGTGCCGTCTGGTTCCTAAGATCAGCCATGAGCCTGGATGGCCTGGGCTCCTCTGTACCCTTTGCTTGCCTGTGTTTTTCCAAGGCCATTCATGCCAACACCATTTCCCACCACTGGGCAGGTGCTGGAGACAGCACAGACTTCCAGAGACCTCACTACTGCTGTCACTGCCACCACCACCTCCACCACTGGTTTCTCTCCCACTTGCTATCATCTTTATCCACTAAGCTAGCTTTCTTTTCTCCTCCAATATTTCCCTCACTCTAAAGTTCTGGCATTCACATAATTCATTTTTTCTTTTATCTTTGCTTAAAGAAAAAGCATTGTGATTTTTCTGCTTCTGGTTTTGAGTTACTCTTTGTTCAGTAATGCACTTTATTTTATTGTCCAAAGAGAGTCAGAGCTAAGCATACAGGTTTAAAGGTGAGCCACATTGAGGGCTCAAGCCCCAGGAGGCTCAGCCACCTCCTCTTGCGGGTAGGATCCTCAGTCCCACCTCTCATCCTCACCCCTGCCCTTGGGATGGACATACCACCTCATGCCCCCAGGCTCCCATAACCTAGTGAGGTTGACTGAGTGCACACCTACCCAGGTGAACACACAGTGACTGCCACAGTCTCCTGGCCCAGAGAGGAGGTGGGGTCTGGCCCCAGCCCACCTCCAACCAGGCTGCTCCTGGGACACAGGTGCTCCTGCTTCGGCTCCGTTTTTGGGCTTGCAGGTGTGCATCGGCTGGGTTTGGATTTGCATTACATTGACCCCAGCCCTGCAGTGGAACCTAATAAAAGCGCCTGAAGCAACTGCCCTGCTCCAGTGTGTCCTTCCTGTGCACTGCACCATTGTCTGGCATCTGCTTGATGTGGGGCAGTTTGATCACTTGTCCCCCAAGATACTACTGTTTGCTAATGTGTTTGGGCTATTTGAGGGTGGGTGGCATCTGGCCCCCTCCTGCTCCTCCCTGCCTAGGCACTGAAGCACTCCTCCTCCAGCTTAATGTCGGAGCAAGAGCTGTCCATTTTTAAAGCCCTGGCCTCCCTCAAGTGCTATTCTGCCTCTGCCCCACCTGTCAGCCATGTGGCTGCTCCAGGCTATCTACCTTGTTAACCAGTGCACATCAGCAGGTGAAGGACAAAGCCCAGAGAGCCCCAGACTGCACAGGTGCAGCAAGGAGTGAGCCTGGAAACTGACACACTGCCTTCCCTTGTGTCTGAATTGCCTTTCCCCGTGACAGCAAGGGAGCCTCCCCCAGTTTTCTCTGATCTTTAGGTACAACCTTTGCATCTGCTGATCAGCACCACTGAGTCCTTTGGCCAGTGGTTCATTGCTCCCTTAACAGTTACTAAAAAACAAACCCAACTGATGTTTGAAGGGGGTCCCTTGGGGGTGAGGCAGGCCACAGGGTAGTGGCAAGAGGCCTGGATTCTGGGGGTGGGCACCTGCCTCCAGTTGGCTCCTGTGATGTGACTTCCTTCAATAGTGGTGCAGTTCCTCTTTAGCCCACAGCTCCCAGGTGGTTTGTGTGCCGGGCTGGGCCCTGAGCGTGGCTCAGGCTCCTGCACCTGTATGTTCTCTGGTATAGCCTCTCTCCCACCCCCACTGGCAGCCTCATCACTTCAGGGCCTTTTTGAAGAAAACCCTCTTGAGAGGTAGTGATAGTCCTTGGAGCTTTCATCTTCCCAGGTTCTATGAAGTGATAAGGGTCTGGACACCCCTCCCCCAAGAGCAAGCAAATTGTACTATCAGAAATAGAACTTGTGGGGGGGGTCCCTTCCCCCACTTCTGGCATGTTTTTCCTATTGTGCTTTGCTGCACGTGAGAGGCCCCTCTGTGCTCAACCCTTTTCACCCCTGGCACAGCCTGCAGCTTCCGTCGCACTTGGTTTTTCTTTCCCGTGTCTGACCCTGTAATGCAGTTTGTTCTTAGGGCGATGACACTGCCTCCAAATTTGGCATAGAGACACACTGCTCTTCAGCAGTGTGCTCTGCTGTCTCACAGGCCTCCTGCTGGGAGCATGCACCTTCCACACCTGTCAGCTCTTAGCCAAGTACCAGCTTAGGCTGGGTACTGCCCACCAGCTGGCTGAAAGCTGGTCTTGTGCCCTTTCCTGGTGTCTAACTTGCCCACTGGGGTCCATGTTCAAGGCCTTCCCCATGACTGTTTAGAATCATAAATCCCATCAGTCTTGGTTTGGGGCCAGAAGTCTGCTACCCCCCCACACAGCAGAATGGAGTGGGACAGAGGAGGAACCTGCAAGGGAGGCTGTTCAGCTCACCTCCTCCCAAGTCCACTTCCTCCCTCCCCCAAGTGGTCATTCTTTCTAGGACAATCTTGGTGTGTTCTCTCTGCACTAGGAGACAGCCTGGGAGGACTGGGTGGGAATTGGTCTGAGTGAGTGACTCACAAGGATTGGGGGTGGTTGGAGGGCTAAATGGGTAGTCAGAAAACCAACTGAGGCTACTTGTGCCATGTGGGGTAATTTCAGAGTGAGGAACTTGCTGATTCTGAAGGCCAAGTGGGAACTGGTCTTCCTAACGCCCTGGCCTTCTCCCCAGCATCAAGGACAGCGTTTCCAGGCAACAGCTTCAGAGCAGCCCTGGGGTGCAAGAGAGGAGCAAAGAACAGACTCCAGATGCCACACTCGAGTTGTGGCTGAGATGGCGGCTGCCCGTTGCTTCAGAGTATGATTAGGACTTCTGTGATTGGTTCTTTGTGTTTTGGCAGGTTCACCAGGACTTGGTGATGCCAGCCTAACTTCCAAGCCCAGTTTTACAACTGTGCCCTAGACTCTATTTTCCTCATGGGTGTCTGGTCTTGGAGCTTTCCAGATTGGCTTTTTAAGGAGGGAGGAGGGGCTTGCTCAGTCTTTAACTTGTGAATGGTGTTAGCAGTCTCTACTTTTTCTGCTGTGGAGGTGGTGTCACCCTGCAGTCACCTCCACGTTAGCATCTCCCTCCAGAGTCCTGGCACCCTGCTGGCTGCAGCATCCTGAAGAAGTGGGTAGCTTCCCTGGATGGGGAGGGTGGAGTGTCTTGCCCTGGCTTCACCCTCCAGGGGCTCAGCCAGTCATTCTCTTTACTGTCTTCTGCCCGCAATTGAGAAATCCCATTAGCTTATTCTCTGTCCCTACCTGTTCAGGTATGGAGGCAGGGGCGCACTTCTAAGTCCATCTAGCTCCAACCTGGCAGTGTCCTGGACGTGGGGCTGGCGTGGGGCGCTCGGCGGCGCACAGGGAAGTCCCATCTCTAGGCTGAGAGCGCCTCAGCCGGGGTGACAACGAGCTGGCACTGCTCCCATCCCGTCCTCTGCAGGACTCCTTTGGCAGGTTCCAGCTGCTCCTCGGAACCCTAGAGAATCAAGATATTTACACAAAGGCTTTGGGAGCGGAGTACCTGCTCCAAAGAGAGTGGGTTCAAGCTTAGCTCAAGAGCGGCCTCTGCTCGGCAGGAGCCCAGGAGCCACCAAGACGCTCTGCGAGCCGGGCCGCGCTCGATTCCGACGCGCGTCGTCTGGCAGGCGGGGAGAGGCTGCAGACCCTGGGAAGACGTCCCCTGCAGGCGGGCGGGGAAAGAGCGGCATCGGTTTCCCTGCCTTTCACTTAAAACACTTCGGATCCGGCCGAACCGCCCA